TATAAATTTGAATCCAACAAATAAAAATAACAATTAATAAATATAGCTTTAATAGTAAAGGTTGTAAGTAAATTTTACAATTTACTTAAAAATTTTTATAACTCATGTAATATGTTATATTAATGTTGGTATCAAAATGTGATGTAAATAACTAATAAAGTAAATCGCGAGCGCATTGGGCGACGTTTGGGCGCATTTGGCGCATTTGGGTAATACCTAGTTGGTTGAAGTTTCTATACAGTGGCCTCTCGTAAGTAAGGCAAACCCACAGTTCTAAAATCCTGGGTATGCCAGTGGTAACCGCTAAAGTGTCTTAGCGCAAAAACGACGAGTAAATGTGTAATAAATCGACAAGATTTGGTGTTAAAATAACTACAAATTTCTATGTATGTAAGACACAGCAGGCTTTCGTTATTGTGACTGCAACATTTAGGTCAACTGACATGTTTGATTGAAATACTCGCCTTTTTTTTTGACAGTATTCCAAATGTGCATTATATATATTGACGGGCTCTCGATAAGCGATAGTTAAAAATTCTCCCGTTATTATTTAAGGTTCTGTCTGGAAACGGTCTTAGTAAGTGTTTGTGCAGCGCAAACGCTTAGTAGGATACTAAAACAAACAGCTGTGGCACTTCATTTTGAACGCCAGGTAAACATTGATCTGATGAAAAATTTACCTAATTTGAATACAATTTTTTTAACAAAAGTTGAAGTTTTAAAGACGTTACAATCGCTTTCTCTGAGATATGACCCAACATCAATGATTCGAAAACAATAATTTGAATCACAAATGGCCATTAGAATCAAAGAAAAAGAGTTATTGTAATTATAAAACAACGATCCACTGTTTTTAGGACACTCAAGCCTTATGTGTTTTCCATCCACCTATAATAAGTTTAATTTCATATAATACAGTAGGTATGTTATAGAGATTTGATTTTTAAATTTATTATCATACAATTTACCATTCAAATATGACAATTATTTTGGTATTGCTATCTCATAAATATTAATATTACATACCACTGGTTGTTTACTATCTTTAACACGTAATTCAACTGCTTTGGAAGCTTCACTATAGTAAAACCAAGGTTGCCATTGACTACTGTTTTATCTTTTGATGAAGTCGTAGATGGGTTTGGATGAAGATCATGAACCAAGACACTTATAAATTATTAACATAATTAACTATTTGTGCCCACTGCATTTCATTAGAAGTTAGACTATGAGAAGCATATGCCACTGGCTGTTTATTTTGTAATAAACAACATCCTAATCCGGATTGAGAGCTATCAGTCTGAATCGTCATACTTTTATTTGGATCAAAAGAAGATAACATTGGTGCATTCACTAATTTATCTTTAATGAGTTTTAAAGCCAGCATTTGACTATCTGTCCACTGCTACTCAGTATCTCTTTTTAATAAGTTTCTTAATGGGGCAGTTAGCTCTGAACAATTTGGGATAAAGCTTCTTACATAATTGATATATCCTAACAATCTTTGAAGTTCTTTTTTATTATTAGGAGGTTTTACATTTTTAATGGCCTCAATACGAGTTGGATTTAACGACATACCTTTTTGGTCAAATAAGTGACCTAAAAATGTTACTTGATCTTGGAAGTACTGAATTAGTACTGAATAGTCAAATTCTGGCTTTAAAACTCATTAAAGATAAATTAGTGAATGCACCAATGTTATCTTCTTTTGATCCAAATAAAAGTATGACGATTCAGACTGATAGCTCTCAATCCGGATTAGGATGTTGTTTATTACAAAATAAACAGCCAGTGGCATATGCTTCTCGTAGTCTAACTTCTAATGAAATGCAGTGGACACAAATAATTAATTATGTTAATAATTAATAAGTGTCTTGGTTCATGATCTTCATTCAAACCCATCTACGACTTCATTAAAAGATACAACAGTAGTCAATGGCAACCTTGGTTTTACTATAGTGAAGCTTCCAAAGCAGTTGAATTACGTGTTAAAGATAGTAAACAACCAGTGGTATGTAATATAATTATTTATGAGATAGCAATACCAAAACAATTGTCATATTTGACTGGTAAATTGTATGGTGGTGTTGATTTGGAAACTGGCAATATTGAAAATGACCAGGATAATGTTCAAGAAGCTACTAATGCTTTAGTCTTCTTAGCAGTACGCTTAAACGGTCATTGGAAGGTCCCAATAGGGTATGTATTGGTTCATAATTTTTCTCGTAGCGAAAGAGACAATTTATTAAAACATTATATGTATTTCTAACCGTATTAAATTGTTTAATTTTGTTGTTTAACGTTTTGGTATGACTTACTTACTAAGTTACAAATTAAGTCGGGATCGCCTAGCAATATTTTTCAACGCTATGAGAAGCCATGGTGGATATAATAACAATCCCAGTGTAATTCAATTCTGGACAGTATACAAACGTTTATTGTTCCTCATGAAATAAGAGGATCAGAGTATGGCAATTGTTCTCTACTAGATTGTGCTAGCATCTTATTTGTTGGTACTAGTCACGGTTTAAGATAGAATGGTTAAGCGACGAGGTCTGATATTTCGGCGGTAGAGTTTCTTATCAAAAATTTGAAAAACTCACTGCCCCGGGGCGCGATCTACTAAATTACCACGATAATCTTGATATTCAATTTTTCTATTCTAAACCAAAACAGATTACCAAGGTAATCAGATACTCAAAATTCCATTGACCTTCTTCAACAATGTAATCAATTTTTTGTTTTAAATTATTTATTTTAACTTCCCTTGAATTTACATCATTTTTATCATTTAAAATTGTTTTTAGGTCTGTGATTGTAATAACTGGGATATTTTCTACAATAAAAAATATTAAAAAGTACTTAAATTAGTGAAAAAATTAATTGTTTACCTTCTAGTATACAACAGTTCCCTGATTTGGGGGGCTTGATTATTGAATATACCGATAACATTCTGTATAGTTGTAAAAATGTTGGGTGGTCATTGGGACCAGCAACTTGTCTAATGGTACCAAAAAAATTTCTAAACAAAATAAATTCACATACAATTAATGAATCATATTTCTATGATATCAGTAATTTTATATATATAATAATTAATGGTATTTATTTAATTATTACTTTTAAGCAGTCTTGATTAGTTTTACTTATCAACACATAAGCAAAATTGCATTCGTCAAGAAGATAATTTGTCAAATCTATTGTGGACTTAATTGTTATTTTTAACCCTTTAGCAGTTTGTTAAAAAATCATCTTCTGGCAGAAATTTATTGGCCACATTTAATTCCCATGTATGTAAAACTGTCAGTGCGTTTTTAAATACATTTAACCAACAAACATATTTATATACCTAACTAATTGATTTCACTGAACAAAATATAGTAAATTTACAAAAACTACAACTACCTACTCCAGCGGTTCCCGACCTTTTTAGTTTCGCGGACCCCTAATTTTGTAAAAAAATATTTGAGGCCCACCCATAGCATACATATACTCTTAAATATATATTCTTAAATCACTATCAACATTCAGTTTATTCCTATATTTATTTTTTAAATAAATTAAAGTAGAAAAAACACGTTCACATAGATACGTTGTCGAAAAGCCCATCAAGTTTCTCAGTGCAATTTTAGCGATTGCTGGATAGTCTTTCCGAACATTTAACCAAAATGTCACTAATTGTGTACTTTTAAAATTCGATTTTAAAGTCTGATCACATGACATTTCAATCAACGAATCTTCTTCACTTGCAGATATTTTCAATTTTTTCAAGTAATCTTCTTCAAAGGGATTTGATTTAGATTTCTGATCTATTGAATTTCCTCTTCAATTTTAGGGAAGTAGTTTCTAAAAACAGTATAAAAATGATTTCAATTGTGCCTACTAAAAAATATTAATTTGTAATTAAGAAAAATAAATAATTAAAAATAACCTGAGGTTGGAAGCTAAAGATTTGAGGCGATCTTGTATAGCTGTAGCTGTTGCTTTATCAATTTTAACTTCGTTAGTTTCAAGAAAATCATGTAAGACTGGAAATGCATCGAAGGAATCTTGTTCTACTTTTAGAGCTCACCAGTAAAGCTTGATTATCATAGCATCAACTTTGTCTTGCACAAAAAACTTATGAATGTCTTTGCCTGCAGAGTAAAATTAAGAACGTTGAGGGCACCAAAAATATCCGCCAAATACGCAAATTGTTACAACCAGTTTTCATCGGTCACCAATTCTAAGTAGGAACTTGCAAGTTTTCCTCCATAAGTCTCCTTCCATAAGGAAAACCCTAAGTTCATCACTGAGCTCAAACAATCTTGATAACACTTTACCTCTTAACAGCCAACGAACTTCACAGCTGTTTGTGTTCACTTCCCATTTCATCAAACAAAACACCAAACAGTCTGGAGTTTTTAGGCCTTCTTTTAATAAAGTTTACGATTTTAACTGCACCATCAAGAGTTTTTTTGAGACACTCGTCCTAACCTTTAACTGCAAGAGCACTCTCTATGTAGTAAATCAATATAATGATGAATGTAGTTCTACTTGTGCTCTGATGGAGACCCTTGAGGATGGAAATTTTGCTATTGTTATCGCAAGTCCACTCATGATACGAATAAGTACCGGTGTACATGAAAGTGGAGAAATAATATTTATTGATGCTTCTGGAAATGTTGATCGATATGGGTGCAAAGTTTTCCTAATTTATACAGATAGTTGTGCTGGTGGACTTTTAATTTGAACATTAATATTGACCAGTGAACCATCAAAGATTATTTCATTAGGATTTTAATTATGGAAAAAGTTGCTCCCACAACATGCATTAGGTGGAAGGCGAATAAATGGACGGAACATTTTTATGTCTAATGAGGATATAGATAAAGAAGTCAACGGTAAGTACTTTCTTACACATCAATTTAAAAAATGTAGTAAGTATAATTAGTATAAATAATTTAATTTTTCTGAAGTACATATACTATTAACTGTATTTTACATTCGAGTCTTTTCCAATGGTTTATGCACTGACTTCAAAAATGACCCAGGCTGCATATGAATACTTTTTGATAATTACTCGACAGATTTTGCCGTTAAACTATGCGGAGCTAGTAATTATTTCTGATTTTGAAAGGGGTTTGATAAATGTTGTGAAATCAGCAATTCCCGAAAGCAGATACCAGGGATGTTGGTTTCATTATTGTCAGGTACTTAAGTATAGTTACCTAATATAATTCACATAATTTAATAATTTAATTTACATTTTCTAGTCTATTGTAAGGTACTGCAGACGGAGTATGAATAGTATATTCAATCTCTTCAAATCCAGCCTTGAGGCTGCTAAAATATTGCACATGGTAATTTTTATCGATAACGGATTACTGAAATTAATAAAAATATTTGAAATAGTATAGGAACTTATACATTTTAAAGTTTTACAAACATTTCTGATATAGATCCTAGCCTTACCTCATTTGCCAGCAGAAGTGAATCCCAATTGCAGGTTCACAATTTTTGACGGATTTAGGGTGGTTGTTGAATTTGCCAACCAACATCCAAACATTTCTCAACGTTTGGAGATTTTTCTCTTGGGTTATGTTCAAGATTTTTGGTTAATACAAATGGGCGCTTCATCTATAAGTGTCTATGGGTATGAGAATTTCATAAACAAAAAAAAAAAATAGAAATAAGCTACCAAATAGTTTTAAAATACAAACACTTTTTAGTTCTGATGTTCAATTTTGTAAAACAATATTTGTTTGGAAATTGGAAATCTAATCTAACTATCTACCTAACCTATGGATTTGTATTTATTCGTTTAGTGCTGTGAATTAAATGTTATGATTTAAGGTGGTTGGTTAAAATATGTTAAATAATAATAAGTAGGTGATTAAATATTTTATTTTTATTCTAGAAAAACTGTTGCTGATTGAAAATCAGTTCTATATTGAAATGGACCAAGTTCGAAGAAACCTAACAGTAAATAAATGATTTCATTTTATTTTAAATGTATATACGATACACCTACCTATATATTTATGTTTTTTTGTTATTTTTAAATGTTAAGGTTAGAAATCATATGTCCAGAGTAGACAGAGCAGTTGCAACGCGTAGAATAGAGGATTCTATTAATATATTAAATGAGGATGGGAACCTCTTAATGTTCCTTCAAAGAGCAGGCCATATGATGGACGGTTATCTTCATGGGTAAGTTGGCCCACAGCCATAGTTCACCTGATAAATTATTATTATTTATTATTAACATATTAACATTTTATGACAATTTTATTGCATTACCTATTTATTATTACATTTTTTAACAATTGAATAACCTATTTATAATATTTAAATTTTTTGACAATTTAATTATTTATTTTATATAATTACCTACATTTTTTAATATTTATTTTAGAATCATCGAGTAGCGATGAATTTATTGGTTTTACAATGATTATGTGCTTTATTGTCAATAAGCATAATTTTAAAAAATTTTATTACCTATTACTATAATTATTATTATTAACATTTAACATATTATCATTTTATGACAATTTTATTGTATTATCTAATATCTATGCTTACCTAAATTTTTTAACAATTGAATTACCTATTTATTTTATAATATTACATTTTTCAAAATTTATTGAATAACACGTTTTATAAGTTGTATTTTAGAATCATCGTGTAGCGATGAATTTATTGGTTTTACAATGATTATGTGTGTTTTATTGTCAATAAGCATAATTTTAAAAATGTTTATTACCTATTACTATAATTATTATTATTAACATTTAACATACTAACATATTATTATGACAATTTTATTGTATTATTTATGGTTATATTTTTTAACAATTGAATTACCTATTTATTTTATATTATTAAATTTTTCAATATTTATTGAATAACACGTTTTATAAGTTGGTCGATGATTATGTGCTATAATACCTTACCGTAGAAAAAAACTTCATAAGTTACTTGATACTTGTTAGTACTTTCAGCTTTGATATTTGTAGGTTGTAGTGTTGATATGTTGTACACATGGCTTTTTTCAGTAGTAGTTTTATAAAAATAAGTTTTGATATTTAGTTCTTACAGTTGGTCACCCTGACTGTCGGAGTAAAAATTGGTTGTTATCATTTGTCGGAGAACGACCCTCGTCCGGCTCGAACATGCTTAAAGATTGGGGATTGGAATGCGTTTATCAAACATTGCTTATTTAGTAAGTTCATATCCAATAGAGTCATTGTTTATTATAAATTATATTATTTTTGGCAACATACTGTACAATTTTTTTTAGCTGAATTTATAGAAAGTGATAAAATTGTACAATCAAAAGATTGTAAAGAATTATTTAATACATTTTCATTAGGAATTCGAGTTTTGTTCATTAATAATTCGGAAAATTGGAAAAAAAGTTTACCTCAAAATGGAAATATGACTACTACAATTCCTCATAATACTCCTACCACAAAAACATTTCAGCAACAAAACTCTGTAGTTCATGATATTGATTTGCGTGTTATATTGAACGCATCAACTACTGGTGGAATGTTATTATAATTATAAAACTAACAATATTTTTAATGATAATATTAGATTATTAGTTACATAATTACCAAAAAAATTACCATATCGGTCAATCTAGCTGATTTTATTGGTTATCAAATAATTTCTATGTTTCCATCAGAAGTAAAAGTAAGTTATAAAAATAATAACTAATAAGTAATAAGTAATTTGTACTAATAATAATTGTTTAAAAATTAATTTTAGGATACATATTTTATGAAGTGCAAATCAAACAAGAATCAAAAAGAAAACTGTATAATGGAATCATGCTTTTGACCCACCTGGTTTCGCATAAAGATTTTAAAAAACTATTAAAAATATTTTTTAAAACGAAGTTTTTTGTTTGCTGAAGTGTTACATCTTCTTTAATAATTCCAAATACATTTCTGCTAAATGTTTGTTTAGATCCTTTCGTTATGGATACATTTAGAGCATGGCTAAAATATGAACATTTAATAGCAAATTTGATGTGAGCTTGTAATAATTTAATTGCACTGCATTTTTCAGACCGCATCACAGAACACCCATCTGTAGTTATTACTACACATTTATTCATAGGTAAAGATAAATAAACTTTCTAAAATGTTTATTACAGTGTTTCCTATTATTTCTCCGGTAGGTTTTGGTTCGGTCGGTATTTACACTAGATTGGCTTTAGTCATTTTGATGACAGTCTGTAAATTGAATGAAGTCTTCGTTTATAGTTTTGTCGTATACTTATCGTAAAACTATAACTAGTTGTGAAGTTTTAGATATATCAGTAGTTTCATCAAAAATTACTCTTAAATATTTCACTTTATGTACTTTTTTCAAAACATTCTTTAAAATTACATTTCCAATTATCGAAATAAGAGTATTTTGAGTCGTATTACTTATATAAGTGGCTGTTTCTTCAGAATTTTTAAAATGATTTTCTAAAGCAATATCGCCAGATAATATTTTGAATTTTAGAAGCTCTCTATAAATACACCCATCTTTGCGATGAACCGGTAAAGCAATATTTTTCCGTCCGAGAAAAATCAAACTTTCAATCATAGGTTTTTGTCTAAATCTGTTTTCTTTAACTTGATTTTGGCGCTGTGAATTGATTTGATTAACTACTTCTTATTATACGAATTTAAAAATTATTTTCCATTTGGTACAGTTTTTATGGTACAAATTTCTATCATGTTTTTCAAGGTAACCATCCTTTCCTAATAACTTTGTGAATTTCTTTAAAGATTCAACTATTAGTGACTTTAATGGAGTAAGGTTATTAAAATCAATGACCAGTGTTATTGTGAAAAATAGAACAATAAATAGGTACAATAGACACCACTTTTTGAAGGCGAAAAAACAAGCCAGGAATATTTAAATGTTCTTGATTCGAAAATCGTTTACCTATAATTTCATTTTTCGTGTGATTTGAATAAGGAAATATGTAACCTATTGGTGGTTTCCAATGATTTTCAAGTAACTATTTTTTAGTAAAATCTTCAATTATATCCAACGCACGTACAAAATATATAAAAAAAAATTAATCAACTAGCCTAGAATGCCACTAATGCACTAATGCGTGGCTACTTTAATCATACCATTTATGTCATATACTTACTAATCTCATCATATAAACTTTAGGGTGGTCCTTATTTTTCATTTGTGATTTGTTTAGAGTGAAAATATTCAACTTAAAAATAAAATTATTCAAAAAAAGTTTCATGCAAATTCTTTAATTTTAACCCGTGCAACAAAAGATCTAAAGTTACAAAAATGGAAAATTTTCAATATTATATTTTTTTTTAATATTCTTAAACACAACAAAAAAAATGTTGCAAAAAATTTGTTGAGACACAAATGATAGAAAACTAAATTTATTACAATTTGTTTCCTATATACTAGATTGTAAATATTTTACTTTTTCAAATATATTAATCGAAAGGTTAAAAAAAAATAATATTAAAAATTGAGATATTTCCGGCAACTTAACATACAAATAATTAATAAATAATTATAATAACAATTTACAGTAAATAATAACATAATGAATTAATATTTTTTACTTATATAGTTATATTTTTAACATATTTTAAATTTATGACTGTGTAAGTGTTTTTTTTTATGGTTAGGATATTTTTTACAATAATCACTAACAATTTGTAGAAACTAGAAGGTATTGTTTTTGAAATTCATCTTTGGTTATTTTATTGTTATAATCCTCTATAAGTTTTACTCCTCTTTCGGCAACATCATTTATAACTGGGATATTTTTATAACGTACAGAGCTTTATTTTACTTCTTCCTTGGGTGTTTATCTAAACTGTTCACAAAATAAATATATTTTTAAACTATAAATAGCTTTGGCCATGTACCGAGCATGATGAATAGCACCTGGTATTTTAAAGCTGACATCACTTGAAAGTTTCCACCCAAAAAAATGACTGATAATTCTAGTAACTCTCGGTACCTAATCATCTTTTGGATGCTTTTGTAAGAGTCGATCTTTAGAAAACTTAATAATATGATCACATAGATCATTTACAGAATCCATTACAATACTATTTTGTATGGTAGGATTTAAGATTAAAATTTTTAGAGTCAATTGTTCCCCAGGCTTGTTGGAAACTTTTAAAAATTGACACGTCTGGGCCCGATATTCACTCAAATTTTAAATCAAACACACTTTTCAATATAATTCCATTTATATGTTGACTTACGTAAACTATTCTTCCTAACCATTGTAAATCAGTAAAATAAAATACATTTATTACAAAGTATAACATATTATGAAAACTTAACACACAGTATAACACTGGTTGTTGTTATAATTCAACTGAGAAATAAATCAATAAATCGCAAAATAATAATTGACAATCTATAATGATTTAATAAGCCCAATAGGCAATAACACATCACGTATCTAAGTCCTAAGTGTACGTAATAATGTACAATGATGACGAGACGAGTGTAGAATGTAGATAATATACTTAGTTTTGTTGTACGAATAATAAATGTTACAATGTGTCATGGAAATAATCTTCACGTAATAATAGAAAAATATGGGTACAAATATTAGTATTACTACTCAGTAGGTACTCAATTCGTACCTAACGATTCTATACTAATTTCTTATATCACAGATTACAACGTGTAGTATTACTTACAAACTATATTATACAGTACCTAAATAAGTTTATGTTCATTTAAATCGCATTATATGATATAGAGAACATTTTATTTATTGCCGCTTTAAAAATAGTTGCAAATTTCTATTTTTAAAATTTGAACTCAAATATTTTTAAAAATTAAACATTTAAAAAAATAAAAGTATAGTTATAAAACTGTTGTAATAATAATAATGTGGAATTAAAGCCCTTACAATGTTTTTGTAAAATCATTATTTGAAGAGTTATGATTAATTATATTGAAAAATTAACGATTTCAAAACATTTTTTTATTATTAAAACTTTAGAGCATTTGTTCTGTAGCTTTTTTCTTAGGCTTTTTTAAAGTATTGTAACCGATTTGAGGAGGGTAACTTGAACATTTTGTAGTGGAGAGGTTGGTAAATTAAAAGTAGTGAAATGGTGGAACTTTCAGTCCAACTTTTTTGTAATAATAATCACAGGCAAATATAAAAAATACAACGTACTTATGTATAGTACCTATAGCATAACATATTTAAATTTTGAAACATAACAAAATTAAATTTCAGCCCAACTTTTTAAGGAAAGAAATTAGAACAGTGGGATGTGATTTCAAAGGAAATTAATTTAAAAATATTAATTTTATCCCTAAGCAATGCGAACGAAAAATGGGAAGATTATTAACTCGTTTTCGACAAGTGAGGGATGCGTCTAAGTGGTGGAATAAAATGGATAGAATAAAAAATGAATAGTAAATTCCATATTACCAACAGCCAGACAAACAATTTCTTCTTCGAAAAGTAAATTTTTTATTTCATTTATTCCTTCAAATTTTTAAGTATTTATTTATTCAATTTTCAGATAGTTAAGTTAAATAAAACCAACTTAAATCGGGGTCATTAAAAAAAAAAATCACTTGCAATATTAACATATAGTCATTAGTCATATACAAATAAATAAATATTTTTTATGTAACAGATAATCGATGGGAGATCCACCAAAATCTTTATTCAAGCAAAACCATAATGAAAAACAACTACTAAGCTTACCAAATTTGAAAAATTGAGAAATGATCAACTAGAAGCAATCAACAATAACGTAAATCAACTAAATATCTGGTTAGAAAAATGTATTATTCTATTTATTTAGTCATATTACGTTTTAACAGTTGTTTTTGTTCTAAACTTCCTATCATGGGTATTCATAGGTTCGATTCACTTAATATAATATAATAATAATAACTCTGCAGTTATAGTCCAACGCTCATAGTGGAAGGTTGGGTGTTATCGTCTTAATTATGTCTGTCGCGTGCGATAAATGTAGTTTATCTGTGTCTCTAAGCAAGAATAAAATAGTTTGTATAAAGTGTAATGGAACATATAATACAAAATGTGCCAGTACCTTCACGTCGCAAAATGAGAAGTTTTCCTGGATATGTGAGTCATGCATTCTTATTTCTAAAAATGAAAAGAACCTTACTATTCGTAAAAAACATAACTCTTCAAACAATGAAGATATAAATATTGTATTGATTAGAGAAGATATATCCAAATTAATTACTAAAATTGAAACATTAGAAAATTCTGTGTCTTTTAGTTCTAATAAAATTAATGACTTTAGCGAAAAATTGGACTTAATATCAGAATCCGTTAAAAATATTAACAAAAAATTTTCGCAAATGGAAATAAAACTGGCCAACCTTGAAAAGCAAGTAGATATGTTAAAAGGTGAAAATAATCAATTTGAAGAGACATTTTTGTTAAATAATATTACCATAACTGGGATACCTACGACAATTTTAAATGTCAATTGCCCAGCTGATGAAATTATTAACGCATTTCGAATTAATACAAAACAGAATAATGGTAAACTGGTTGTTCGATGCGTTAGTAAGTTTATTTCACGCAATTTGTATAATAATTCAAATTAAATAATGAGCATAAATACGAATGATGACAGTCAACACAGCAGTTGTAGCGAACCATTAACTCCACCACACATGGTTGAAACGGCAAACGCCGTTTCACTAAATCTATTGCCTGAAAAATTAAAGAAAGATATATATTGGCTTATGAAAAAATTTCAAAAGCCAGTGACGTTGATGAAAAAAAAAAAGAAACAAGTGTCAGCGGAAATGTTTTCAATATAAGTAATTGTTCTAGTTGGACATTAAATATAAATTAAAAATAAAATAATATAATATATTAGTATAATAATCTTATCAGTTACAATAATAAAATATACGAAGTGAAAATTGTAATTTTGAAATAAAATAAAATGTCTTCCATGAAATTGTTTTTTAGAATAGTCTATAATTGTTGCCTGCATAACCTGCATAACCTTTTCCATGAACGCAGGGGCGTGACAAAAAATAGTATGTGTGGCTCGCGCGGGAAGGCCATTTCCCGCCCTTGCCACACAATATACTATTTCCCCTGGCTTTCTCTTATCGTACTGATTAATTTACGGACAATGTAGCATGGTATACTTTATCGACTTTAACGAAACTATATTCTATAATCTCTAACGATAACCAGTCTTTATTAATTTTTCATTTTTTCTCTTCATTTTAAATATAATAAAATTTGATAAATAAAAATGTTACTTTGTGATGACTGCTTGCGCCTCCCCAGCGATGTGTATACGCCCCCTAAGTTGTGAATCACTGATATAAACAGTAGAATCTTAAATGATTTAAGTCAATTTTCTATCAATGATAATAATATATCTGTATTTTCTTTAAATATTAGTTGTATTAATGCACATCTAGATGAACTTATGTTATATTTAAATGCTCATAACTGTGTTTTTGATGTTATTATTTTATGTAAAACATGGTTATTGCATGATTTAAACTTCAATTTAAATGGTTTTATTAACTCAACGGGTTTGCTCAAAAAAGCGATGGTGTTACTATGTTTATTAAAGATATTATTCTACTTTTAAATACGAAAAAACACATTATTAAAAATGTTAATGCTTTAGAAGTATCACTATTTATTAGAAGTAAGCACTTAACAGTATGTGGAATTTATAGATCGCCAAATGGTAGTATTGATGACTTTTTAATTCATTTCAATTTATATTTATCTGCTTTTGAGTAACCAATGTGTAATTATATGTGGAGATTTCAATATTAATATCTTAAACAATAATATAAAAACTATTGAATACCTCAATATCTTAGCTATAGTCCAGGCAACGAAAACTGGCCGGTGACCACCGTCACCCGCCTGCTAAATACTGGTGGTTAGCCATGGGTTCTCAAGCTGCACCGCGCCGCTGAGATGTTTACACAATAGGCGCACGGCATGTGTTTTTTTTTGTTGCACGGTCTCTTATTCAATTCACAATTTAGGTACCCATCTAAAACTGGTTTATATAACAGCTGGAGAACTGGAATGTATTATGGAGGGATCGTATACACGGGCATAGCCGTTTTTGACCAAAAACGTACCCTCCCTTTTCGGCCGATTTTTTTTTCGACAAAACAAAAAGTTTTGTAATATGATATGTAAAATAAATAAAATAATTGGTATATAATTTTTGTAAAATTATGGCAATTATATTTTTAAAAATTATTTAAAGTATAAGTTGCATAAAATGTTGTAAAATACAGGTAACTTGACAGGTACCTACAGTATATAATTTATTAAAATAGCTATACTCTATTTCATGAGAGAACGGTAGTAGGTCTCGACGAAAACAGGTTCGTTTTGCGCATCCCCACCCCGTACCTCGCCTAGAGCGCTCTACACTAACGCAACTGGTGTGCTACGGCGACAGCCGTCGACGACGATAGCAATCACGTGTTTGTTTATACGTAGCGGTGCAAAGTGTTACCTACTCTGGTCTCTGACTACGGATACACAGTTTTTTTTTTTAATATTGGCATTGTTATTTATTTTTATTTATTTCATCATTAAATTATCATAATGGATGATCCTTCTCATTCTGGAGTGGATGCAGGTGTTTCACCAGTTAAGAAAAACAAAAAAGGAAAGGTAAGATATTTTTATTAATTTTATTTACCTATTTTTTACCAAAACAATTTTACTTAATTATGAGTATAAAAAATGTAAAACTTGTGATTATAAGTATTGTTTTTTTTAATTGTAATTTTCATCTAAATTTCAAAAGCCTTATAAATTACGTAAAATAATAATATTAAACATAATAAAAAAAGAAATTATACAATAAAATAAATATCTCAAATAAAAAAGTAAACATAATAAATTACGACACGAATTATATTTCAATTTTTTTTTTTTTTAGTTCGTTTGCTCTCGTCAAAAGGAAACAATAATTAATGTATACAAATCAATACTGTTACAACAACCAAAAATTAAATATATGGACTTGGTTCTAAGCGTTTGCAAAACAACTGGTGTCGGTAGGAATACAGTTAGTAAAACCATTTCGGATTATAAAAATGAAGGCGTATTAAAGTCTCCGAATAAAACCAAAATCAGGGCTTCAGTATTCGAAAAAACTGACGATTTCGAAAAGAATGCTGTGCGGCGAAAAGTCCATGACTTTTGGTTTAGACGTGAATTACCGACTATTGAAAAAATACTGACTTCAATTAACGAAGACCCTGACCTTCCAAATTTTTCTCATACAACATTGTACCGTTTATTGAAAAAGTTAAATTTTACGTTTACTAAGAGAGGTCGTAATAGTGCTATGCTTGAAAAAGAAGAAATCGTCATTTGGAGAAATAAATATTTAGAAAACGTGCGTAAATATCGAGAGGAAGGACGGACCATTTACTACCTGGATGAAACGTGGGTAAACGCAGGTGACGTTTCAAACAAAATATGGGTAGACAATACAATTGAGTCTGGCAGAGACGCATTCCTGAAGGGTCTAACAGTCGGTGCTACCAACCCAAGTGGCAAGGGCAAGCGTTTAATTGTCCTGCACATTGGTTCGGAAGAAGGATTTGTTCCGGGCGGACTATTATCATTTGAGTCTAAAACCAAATCAAACGATTACCACGATGAAATGAATGGGAATACCTTTTTTGAGTGGATACAAAGAGTTCTACCATTACTTAAGGACAACTCTGTTATTGTGATGGATAACGCTCCCTATCATAGTGTGAAGGCTGAGTTGTGTCCAACACTTAATTGGAAAAAGGCCGACATTGAGAAGTGGTTAGATGAAAAAGGAGAGGTCTACGACAAACCACTTATTAAGGTACGACTTATGGAAATAGTTAATCGCATAAAACCTCGTTATAACAAGTATGTTATTGACGAATATGTAAAGAAACACAATAGGGTGGTATTACGGTTACCACCCTATCATTGTGAACTCAACCCTATTGAGTTGGCATGGTCGGTCGTGAAAAAACACGTTAAAATGAACAATTCCACATTCAAACTGCAGGACGTGCATAAGCTCCTCCACGACGGTATCGACCGATGCACTCCTGAAATGTGGACAAATTTCATTAGCCACGTAAAAAAAGAAGAAGAAAAATTTTGGAAGATAGATTTCATTGTGGATGACATAATGGATAATATGGGATACACTCCAATGACCATCACAGGAGAAACCTCATCAGATTCCGAATCTTAAAATTATTTTGTATATTACATTTTTTTTCTACTGGTTTATACGTTTTTTTTTTTGTATGTATTTTATTTTATATGTAATTATATTTTCTTTGATTTTTATTTGTTGTTTAAAATAAAAATGTAATATAATATATTAAATTTGTATATCTGTATATATATTATATTATTACATATTATATACAAACATTACATAACATTTTATATTTATTTAATTTGGTGTAAGGGGCAATATAATATTAAATCACATTTTTTTTACTATACATATTTACGTTACTACGACCGCCACCGCGGTCTGATCATAATTAATACTCGTACATACGCATATGACGTGTGACGGTTGACTATTGACAATATAACATAATTAATTTAGCACGCTGTATAGTCGGCGGCAGTAACGGCGGTCGTTCATTGTCGTATCACATCGGCACTGATCGAGCGCTGACAACACATCGAGGGGTCCGGTCGTGTGCCGCAGCTCAGTCTGCATGCGCGAAACACTACCGTTCTCTCGTGAAATAGAGTATAGGCGTTTTTATTACTTAATAGTAAATATATCACTAAAATATTTTTAGGTATGATTTTGTTAAGTTGGTTTCAAACAATTATTTCAAACAAATGTAATGAAAAGCGCTAACAAAACTCAGACGACACAATATTAAGACACAATTATATTGACCTTATATAATTTTTTTTTATATAATATATCTTATATTTTTAATAATATTTGCCATTATTTATCATTATTTATATTATTATACACATTACTATTAGACTTAATAATTATTGACAAAAATTGTATATTATTATGTTATTCTTTTTATAAAATATTATGCACAGTGTGATATATTAACACAAAACTAATGTTAATAATATATAGGTATTCTTATATTTAAATTTTTTTTATTTTTTATTCTACAACATTTTATGCAACTTATACTTTAAATAATTTTTAAAATTATAATTGCCATAATTTTATACCAATTATTTTATTTATTTTACCTATCATATTACAAAATTTTTTGTTTTGGTCGAAAAGTGAATCGGCCAAAAAGGGAAGGGTACGATTTTGGTCGAAAAGGGAATGGACGTTTTATAAATTTGGTCGAAAAGTGAATCGGCCGAAAAGGGAAAGGTACGTTTTTGGTCGAAAACGGTCTCGCCCGTATACACATATACTGTATAGTATATAAGGCTGTCGATTTTGTGTATTATGCAACAGACATTTGTAACAGACTGTGTGTTGTACCTACGTTTTTGAAATCAGTTTTGTGAATATTTGTTTTTTTCTTGTGTTTGAATACATTTTTGTACAAGGATCTATTAAAAATGTCTTTAAATAATAGTT